ATACGGGCAGCAATCACGTCCCCCTTCCGCGACCCTTTCCCGTAGACGTACGAGAAGTCAGGAAGTTTACGGAGGACATCGTACCATGTGGGCGGGGAGTCCAGGGGGATGGCTGCTTCCCGAGCTTCTCTCTGTTTGCGGCGGATTTGGGTCCTAATCTGTAAGAGTGTTCGAGGAACAACGTAGTCAGGTGTGGCCTTGTTGCAGCCAGTCTTGGCAAGGTCATCTGCTGCCTCATTCCCCAAGATACCGACATGACTAGGTATCCATAGGAATGTCACAGGACGGCCTTCATCCTGAAGTGTGGATGTTAACCCTCGTATTCGGAGGATGAGGTCCTTATTTTCCCCAGATCCAAATGCGATCCCATCGAGAGCAGACCTGGAATCGCAGCAGACAAGCAAGGGGCAGAAACCATCTGCTTCTTCCTCAGCGAGAAGGGCAGCAAGGAGGGCTATTAGTTCAGCCTGAGTGGAGGATGCCCCGTCAGAAACTCTGAGAGACAGTTTGATAGGCTCAGGGGCATGAGGACGGGAGATGTAGACACCAGCCCCGGCCCTACCTGTAGCGGGGTCAACAGAACCATCAGTGTAGAGGACGACCCTACCTGGGGACCAGTGAGCGATCCTGGAGAGGTGGTATTTGCAGAGAATAACAGGGTTCACCTGGGATTTCGGGAGCGGTCCACCGAGGGCAATCACTTCAGGTTGAAAATCCAGCCAGGGAGAAGGAGACGAACCAACAGCAGGGGTGACAACAATATCAGGCAGGAGGTCATGTTCCTGAAGGGCTCGGATGAGTGACCCTCGCCACTGTCTTCTAGATGGAGGTCGGTCTCGAACAGCAGTAGTCAAGTTGGTTTGGACATAGTTGCCCCTAGGATCCCGTAGAATGGAGACGGCAGTTTTTAGGTAAAACTCCTGGACACGATCCTGTAAGGGGGAAAGACCAAGTTCGTTATATAGAGAAGTAGAGCGTGTCCACTGAGGAGCCCCAAGGATGATACGAGCAGCTTTCCTCTGGATAACTTCGAGACGGTTGACAGCAGTCCGACTAATGTTGACGAGGGCAGGGGCGGCGTAGTCGACACAGGAACGGACAAAAGACTTGTACATGGTGAGAAGTACAGGGATGCTGGCACCAAGGGAACCCCTGCACATGGTAGAGAGGGGAGCGAGACGCCGAAAACCTATGTCTCGAAGATAGCGGACTTCAGGGATCTGACAACGTGTGCGAGTTACATACACACCCAGGTATTTTGTCTCATTAACCCAGTCCAAGGGCGTTCCTGATAAGAAAAGGGGTGGAGGTACAACACGACCGTGCCACATGGCTTTTGTTTTCGCAGTTGAAAGAAGGAAACCAAGTGAATCACACTCTCTGGAGACCAGATCAAGGGCTTCCTGCATGCTGAGGTAGTCAGGGGCTTGGAGGAGGACATCGTCGGCATATCCTGAGTGGACAACTTCTGTCGGCCACGGGAGTGATGCAATGGATTGCGAGAGTGTTAAACAAGGTGGGACTCAGGACTCCACCTTGAGGGGTGCCGAGGTTCATTTCTTGAACAGGAGACATAGAGCCTTCAACGCGAACCCGGGCCTGACGTCCAGTGAGGTAAGAGGCGATCCATTGTAGAAGTCTCCCTTTAACCCCTAACCGTGCAAGTTCAGCTAAAATGAGGGCAGGCTGAGCCGTATCAAAGGCTCCCTTGATATCAAGGAAGACGGAGACGCGGGCAGTCTGATTGCAATAAAAGGAAGCAATGGAGTGTGCTGTGCTGCGATGTTGAATGAAACCATTGAGGGAGTTGTGGAAGCCGCCTATGGTGTGAAGAAGGCGACGATGGAGTACCCTCTCCATCATCTTGCAAACACAGGAGGTAAGACTAATGGGTCGATATTTCCCAGGATCTCCCGGCTTAGGGATGGGGATAATAGTGACTTTTTCCAGTTGGACGGGAGAACCCCATGTTCATAAGATATATTGTAGAGAGCAAGCAAGGGGCCGTTAGGAATATTAGTACAGGCGTTGAGGACGGAGTAGGTTATCTGATCATCCCCAGGAGAGGTGTCTTTTCTAGAGCGACGAGCACTGTCAAGCTCGAACTGTGTGATGGGATGATCAGTGAGGGCAGGGGAGGTAAGAGCAGCACGAACAACAGGCTCAGACGCATCGATGCGGGCCTGCACTGCCTCCTGCATTGGATCTGGAAGTGCCTCAGGGGAGGAAGCTCGTGCCCAGTCCTCCATTAAAGAGCAGGCAAGGGAGGCCTCCGTCGAGTACCCCGTACAGTATTAATCCGATTCCATACATAAGAGGGTGACGACTGGAACGATAGAGATCCCGTGAAGGATAGCCAGTCCGCCTCACGTATCCGACGGCGCTCCTGAGTTGCAAAGGAGCACCAATTTTTGAAGTCTTCCCAGTCCTCTGGAGACCGAGACCTCCGTATGGCAGAGTGGAGATCACGGGTTACCTGCCGGAGATGTCTCATGGCAGGGATACGATACCAGTAGTTGGTGGCACTTCTTGGGTGACGGGGAGGGCGTGGAGGGGTAGCGCGATTGACAGAGTCATACACGGCATCAACAAAATCAGCGCTGTAAGAGTCAAGGGACAACATAGGAATCCGCCCAGGTAGAAAGGTATTGGGTAAAGGAAGGAACAGCATCTTGTGTGAGACGAAGGCGAGGGGATCGATAAGGAGTTGATGTCGGGGCAGAGAAGGAGAGCCTGAGATGGGTAGTAACGGCAAGATGGTCACTATACAGAGCAGGCTCGGTACAGACGGTAGGATGAAAGGAGGTATGACCGTTCAATAGTAAGCCAACATCAAGGAAACTATGGGGGAGGCGAGTAGGATCGTCAGGACAAAGAAAGCGAACATCATCATCCCCATTAAGAAACTGTGAGAGATGTGATCCATTAAGGGTACATGGAGTGGGATGATCCGGAGTAAGAGTGGGATGGCGGGCATTAAAGTCGCCAAGAACAATAGTGGGAACCCCATCATGGAGGTCGTGAAGAACCTGGGGGTCCAGAGAATCACTCTTGAAATGAACATTGACTTCACGAAGGGTCAGGTCACCAAGAGTAAGGGAGACAGAAAGTAATTCAGACGGGGGTCCATGTGAGTCAGGTGAAGGGAGACGAACAGATGGAATGGTGTTACGCACAAGGGTGAGGAGGCCACGAGCCTGCCCACGGTACCGAGGCAGGGTGTAAACAGAATAGCCAGAGAGGCGGAGTGGAGTAACATCGTCTGTGATGGTTTCCTGAAGTAGAGCAACATCTTCTTGATGGGAGAGCACAAACTGGGCGAGGTCTAAGTCCCTGGATGTTCCATTGTAAGAAGAGGAGGGAACGGCCTCCGGTGTGAGATGAGTCGGAGGGGCTAGATAGGGCTCCAGAGGAGGTACCAAATTCTGTTGAGAGAAATGGAGAGGGAGGAGTGGGAGAGCGAGGGATGGATCCTCCATCTCGGGAGATGGAAGGAGGCGGGTTATCAGGGCTTGCAAAGTGCGCCCCTGTTGGGTCAGGGTGTCCAGAATGAGTTGTTGTTGCTTCTGCAATGTCGCAATTGTTTTCACAAACAAGTCGAGTTGGGCTGAGAGAAGGTTGATTTGCTTGGAGTGGCGATCCAGACGGAGAGTGATTGTTTCCATAGAACCAACTTGGTGTACCTGTGCATGAGCTGGAGGTGGCGGCGAGGATTGCCGAGGGCCCGACTGGGCATGTGGCGGGATTGGTGGATCTGTTTTCGGTTGTATAACAGTTTGGATTGACAATGTATTGCGAGTACAGTATTATATTTTTCGAGTATTTTAGCCGATAAAAGTACCAATAATATTACGGTAGTTGCTCAAAGTGGAGAAGGGTTTGAAAGAGGGAAAATGTGGAGTAAAATACTAAAAAGAACAAAACGCGAACCTTTGAAAACCTGACCTGACCTGACCTAACCTATAAAAATCCTAAAACTATAAAGCACGTACAGCACCTTATTGTTGTTGTTTAATGTGTTGAAGTTTTCCGTGTTCAGGTGGGGAGGGGATCTATGAACTTGAAAGTGATTTTTAACCTTTCTATAGATTAAGGAAGGTTAGGTCAGGTTTTCAAAGGTTTGTTTAGTGTTATTTTTAGTATCTTACCCCACATTCTCCATCTACTTCAAAGCCCTGTCCACTTGTTGGGAATTGGTGATGTCTTATACAGTACTGTACTATACATTCAGTAAGTGGGAAACACTGGAGCACCTTAGCTTATGTGTTTATTCAAGACATTGTCAGGTCATGAGACCCAACTGTGGGTGACTTGACATTGCATCAGAAGGTCAGTATTTTGAGACCACTCATCGTCCACCCTACCTCCACCTGACATTGCATCATGTCTGTTCAGTAACAGGAGACCCACTAACCCCCACAGCTCAGTGTGACTGGGAAATACCCGTCGTCGTTGTAACACCGTATCAAAGATTTGTAGTTTTTTAATTATATTTATTTAACTAAGCTTTTAGATCAACAATTCGGGATTATTCTAGTAAAGAAATGGAATTTCTAACATAATTAGAACTGCTTATACGGACTCCGGTAGTTTAGACTCCCGGAAATCTTTCCCCAGCACCCAGAAACATTCTGGGATGTGGGCTAGTGTCTGTCTGTGTTGTTTAGTCTCTGGGAAACTTTTCCCGGTAACCGAAAAAAAGAAATCCGAGGACAAGGGATTTTTCTGTTTGAGAAAGTCGTTTGGACACCGGCAAATATCTCGTCCCCGGAAGTTGCTTCCATCAAAGAAAGTTTATTTATTTATTTATTTTTATTTATTTAATTTTTTTATTTTTTGCATAATATGCAGAACCCCCGACTGAAATTAGATTAGGTTAAATAAGTTTCTTTGGTAAGGTTAGGTTGTGTTGGGTCCTGTTCATTTTTGTTTCCATTTTTTGTGTTCAATATCATGCAAATAGTATCTCCAAAAATTTTGGTTCAATTCCATGAGTTTTTTTTTGTTCTGGTGCTAACGGTCTCCTTCACCTTTACTCATTATAATGTTTTACAGTGTTGTGTGTTATATAGTTATTGGTTACATTTCCAGGAAGCTTGAAGGACCAGCAACACATCTCGGTATGACTCAACTGTACACACTGTCCAGACCCATATATTATGACGGCACCAATGACAACTGATGAAACACAGCTGACCTGTGGGAGGTGAGTAACTGTTATTTCACATGTTCTCGTTAGGTGTATAAGCCTATTCTAATACAGTACAGTACTTGCTGTTAACGCTCATAGGAGCGTTATTGGTTTGACGCTGGAGAAATAAACCCTCGACGTTGACAGGTACCACATAATTCGGTCAAAACCTGTCAAAGAACAATTCTCATATAACAAATGCTGTTATCTCGGGATACATAGTATGAATAATAACTGTTGATACATCAGGAGACAATTTGTTTAATCAGATCAAATTACAGTACATAAATATACTTATTAAAGTTATTTAGAGTTTCTTGGCAGATTCTAATACTTCACGATCGCTCGCGTCTTAGGGTCTAGTGGTCCGAACCGACGTGTCGTCTGTCCCGTAGAAATCGGTGGACTACCCTCGAGGGCAATCGCAGCCCGGAGGCGAGGGCCATCCGTTTCGTATTGAAGCACCTCGGCTAATTCGTCGTCAACACTATATCCGTTCTCTCCCGCCTAGTTTATCCCTCTTTCTGTCTCTTCTAGTTTATCTTACTGTGGCGGTAACACTTGTGTTTTTTTACACGTGTATTCCTTTGAGACTGTTTTTACCTTATTTATCTAATGGCCACCCAATAGAGGTGGCTATGCCAAGGGATGGAGACCAGTGGGTTATGTAAGATCCCTGCATTGTTCTTGATAATTTTGTCAAGGTTTCTTTTGTAGTCCAGTACTGTTCTTGATTCCACAGCTTGTGCTGGCAGACTGTTCCATAGGTCTACCAGTCTGTGTAAAGTAGTATTTCCTTATATTTGTTCAACATGAGAACTTGGCCAGCTTGTAGTGGATGTGAGACTTTATCAAGTGCCCTAGAGAAATCCACATACATCCATGGTCAAAAAGTTTGTTCAACCCCAAATAAAATGAAACCGCACACCCGCATCAAACGACAGACAGTCGGGGTAAGTCGAGTCAGAAACTCGTTCCTTTTGACTGACCGTACAACACATCCACTGGTAGACCTTGGTCCATGTGGTCTGTTAAAAATTCAATGAAAATGACTTAAGTTTGTCAGCAGAATATTCTATCCATGAAATCATGTTGTGATGCATTGATTAAATTGTACTCAGTCAGCTGTTGGATGATCAGGGTGTCTACTGGTCTGGAAATGGCAAACAATTTTAACGGAGGCTGGAAAAAGTCGGAAATTTTATGTGAATTCAGTGCAACTTCAAAATATTGTTATTTTGACAGTAATCTTACCACAAATCAATGCTGTACTGTACTGTATAATAGGTAAATAATTTAATTTTTAGATGCAAATTCCAGTAAATAGACAACTCCAGTAAGTGAATTGTTTGTATACCTATAGTATCATATTTTATGTTAGTGATCAAATAACAAAATATTACACGTCACAGCTACTGATTCTGCAATGAGTATTGTCATAGATGAATTGTTGTTTGTTATTTAAGTGGATTATTGTATATTAATCAGTGGATCAGAAGTGTGATTTTTCAGTTGCCACCACAGTTGGAACCCCCGATTACATCAACTTTCCCCCGTGCTATCTGGATTTTGGTCGGGGATACTTGTGTCCGGTGCTGGACCCCAGGCCGGTTTTCAAGAGGATCTAGATTAAGCGAGTCCGGGCTAGAGGGAGTTTACTGTACTATAATGAAAGCATCTTTATTCCTTAGTTATGTTTGCTTCAGTATGAAATCAACCCTGAAGATGTCAAATATTTTCTGATTTAATAAGTGATATTTTCTCAACCATGTCGTACAACCTTCATCATGACAATAAGCATTATGGGATGACTATGTGGTTATCATCGTACTCCGGGACAATACGATATTAACTTCTCTGTACCAGTATTTTGGGACAACACTTAAGTTCTTTAGGGAAATTGGGACTCAAACAGACTGTCAGGTTCAGGAGAGGTCAAAAGAATGGCTCTTAAGATAAAAGTGAATACTAAATGTAGGAGGATGCACCTAGGTCATACCAACAGTAAGGAGGCGTATCACGTGTCCCAACCGGACGAAGAAACGTCATTAACGGAGACCAAAATACCGTACGAGAAGGACCCGGGAGTGTATGCGACACGTAGATGGTCTGTCCCTCGTAACGCTTTTCGAGTATTAGGTGCTTCCCGTCCGAAGTACCGTGACCCCGTTTGGTCCCTCCCCTCCACCTGTACTTCCCCACCTCCTCCTGTACTTCCCCACCTCCACTCCCCCCCACCTCTACTCCCCCCACCTCCACTCCCCTCCACCTCCACTCCCCTCCACCTCCACTCTCCCCCACCTCCACTCCCCCCCCTCCACCTCCACTCCCCCACCTCCACCTCCACTCCCCCACCTCCACTCCCCTACCTCCACTACCCCACCTCCACTCCCCCACCTCCACTTCCCTACTTGCACTCCTCCCACCTCCACTCGCCCTCCTCCACTCCCCCACCTCCACTCTCCCCACCTCCACTCCCGTACTTGCACTCCTCCCACCTCCACTCCCTCACCTGCACTCCCCTACTTGCACTCTCCCACCTCCTCTCCCCCACCTCCACCGACGGAGGGCTGCAGTTCACAAGCCGGGACTTTGCTGCGTTCATCGAGCGACGGGGAGTCCGGCAGGTGTTGTCACCGTCCCATTACCCGCAGTCCAACGGCCACGCCGAGGCTGTTGTCAAATCCCTGAAGCACCTCATCCTCAAAGTGGCCACTTCTGGGAATATCCTCAACTGCGAGGCCTTCGACCGGGGTCTCTTCGAACTCCGCAACAACCCAGCTACACCGGATGCTCCCCTGCCCAGGTCTTGTATCCCTGCTCACGCTCAGTCCTTCTCCAAGGAGTGGCAGGTTAAGACAGAGGATTGCGGCCGCCGAACGAGTTCGTGACGTCGTCGCCCGCTAATACTACCACGCCCGTTCTCTCCCCAAGTTGAGTGTCGGCACCCAAGTCCGTGTTCAGGACCTTATCTCCCTACGTTAGGACAAAGTGGGCGTAGTCATGGGTCTCGGTAGGTCACGGGACTACCAGGTGCTGTTACCCAGTGGTCGCGTGTGGTGGAGGTAACCGCCGTTTTCTCCGCCCCGTAACAACGCCTTCTGCTGACCCCGTCACCAGTGTTGAGTCCTGTGTCCTCCCCAGTGATCAAGTCCCTCGACGCTCAGAACGGATCCAAAAGAAAAGGTCCGCTCAAGACTTTGCTATGAGCGTATAGAGGGGGGGGGGTTATATGTGTATGTTGTATGTATATTATGTATTCCATTTATATATATACTACTTATTTAGCCTAGCCAGCAGCATGTGGCAATGCATTTGTTATGTCCCACACGCTTAGATAATGTGCCTGGCGACATATGGAAGCTGCTACATGTCGCCTGAGGGCTCGGTTGTTGATAGAGTAGGGAGTGCCGTCTTGTTGTATTGTAGTGGGCTACCTCCGCTATATAAGACCTAATCTCGTGGTGACCTACCTCTTTCTACCTACACCAACCAACACCACCTCCTCCGCTCCTGCCTGGCGGCCCTCGCTTCCGTCGGCGAGCATGGCGAGCCACAAGCTGGTCCTCCTCTGAGCACCCTCACCAACCAGATCTCTCTACATCACGCTTGTAACCAACCTGCCACTTCCCAGCACCAAGCTGCTCTGTACATCCAATACAATATGTATACAGAGAGCACATTGTGAGTTTCCTTTCTCCAACCCATCCTGAGTGTGAACCAATATCTCATAACCCCACAAATGGTGACCCCGGAGATTCGCACTCACACAGGATGGAGGAGAAACCGATCACTCTCCCAGTCTTCAAGCAACATGGAAGACTGGCTTATCCACACAGAGGCAGCTCTCATCGGCTCTACAGGTACTGTCTCTACACCTCAGGTTAGACACCCTAGAGCAGCTCTGCTACTCTAAGCAGACACCAGCTCCTCTTCCTGCCCCAAGCACCACGTCCTATCGACCCCAGCAGGCGCATCTGAGGACTCTGTACCTGCCGAGAGGGAAGCACAGCATTCGTCGCCCCCACACACCGTTGTTTTTTTCCCTCCGGCACTCCCACCTGCTGTTGTAGACCCTGCTCCTATTATAGACCCTCCTCCTGACGTCGCCCCTGACCCAGTCATCCCAGCCAGTGATCATGAGGACGCTGCCCCTGCAGCGACAGAAGCACAACATTCATCGCCCCCACACACCCTTTTTCTCCCACAGATCTCGTGTGTCTAGACTCGAGACAGTTGTCTCCCCTAGCGGCCGGGTCTTTCACGCCCTCGCCGTTATGTCTCGCATGTGGCATGCACCGCCGTTTTGCCTCGCATGTGCCATGCAACCCTGCAGACAACAAGTCTCCTACACCTCCTGGAGGAAAGGGGGGAGTATCGTAGTGGATTCCTCCCCTACAAACGCTGTTTGTCGCAGAGTAGCCGACCCCGCGAATTCCCCAGCGTATGCCTCGTGGTCTAGGTCAACCAGCGCCGCCTTAGACGACGGAGGTCAACTATTAAGCCACGCTTATCTCCGCTATATAAGACCTGACCTCGTGGTGACCTACCTACACCAACCAGCAAAATAGAATTCTACGAGTGTTTCTGTTCGCCCCTGTAGTTAGAACCGAATACCTAGAACATGTACAAATATATTATGCTTATTTTTAAAAAATTTTCTTATTCCAGGTGTTTCGCATATTATCCGAGTCAACAGAAGGAGTTCGTCTTTGCGATCAGCTCCTTCCGACCATCTCCGAGATGTCATCCGGAGAGTTGAACTTTGCTCTTGCCATCCGGTCTCTTCTCCAGAGTATCGTCAGAGGTACAATGATTTATATTAAGAATATCTTCAATATAATTAGCCCTACCATTTCAAGTGGATGAATTTTTAATTAGTAAGAATCATGATACCACTTAAAAAGTTGTCAATTTGCTTTAAAAGGGTATTTGTGGGGGATAAATGTAAAGGTGTACATATAAATGCAAAGATACATGAAAATATTGAGTGTTTTATTATGAGGTACAGCACAGTACAAGCTTTTAGGTATGATTTTGTCACCGCTAAATCTGCATTACACATTTTGTATTCTACTTTTATTTCCAAAATCTGGTTAAACTGTCTGGGTTTTTCTCACAGTAGGAGCAGAAATAGGCACTCCTTGATTAATCACGCCTCCATCACTGTGTCAAGCTCTGCTGACCTGGCTCTGTGCGGTGATTTACTCTCTAATGTGCTCATGTTTTTGTCAATTGTTGATGGAATGTGGCTGTGTACTATTTACACTTTGGAGGTCACATTGAAGCAACACTTAGCAATGATAGGGAATTACGCAGTGCAGTATATATTTTATTTCAATATTGTTGCTGCTAGTGAGTTGTACTAAACAAGTATCCACTATGTATTTCATAACATTGTAATTTCTTTTGGCATTCTCAATTTTTGTTTCGGATATACTGTATATATAGGGATGCTGTAATCTAAAATTAGGTTTTGCATACATCAAGAGTACGTTTGTGGCTCCTCACGAGTTGTACTTGCTCAGAAATATATACTGTACAGTAATGTTATATACAGGTTGCACTTAAAAAAATCCAAACATCATTTATCCCAAAACTGTGAACATCCAAAAGTGATCGCATTGATTATAAAAATTTACCGCGCTGCCAGATGATGGCGTTTCAGCACACTAAGCTAAGATATCATCACCGGGGCATTTTCTCGTAGTCGGTCCCCGAGTTACACCCTCCGACTCGCCGTCACCCGCACTTACGAACGGGATACCAATACATTCACCTCAAAAAGTTGTAATTAAACTGTCATTATTTTCATCATTGTTTAACAGCACTTTATTTGTTATGTAACCTAAAGTATGGGTCCAGGAACTTATCCCTGTTGTAAGTTGGGGACGGCCTGTATTATTATTAACATTATATTTTGAGTTCCTTAGTTTAGTGTGTTTGTTATACCTGTACATGCAGTATTATATATTAGTTTATAGTTGTCATATATGTAGTATTTTATTTGGTGCTTAATGAAATATTAGGGTTTTTAATAATGACCTTGAGTTGGCCAACAAGTTCAGTTATCTGAAACATTTTGGATTTTTGAAGTGGAACCTATATTTCAACTCCCTCCTCAAAATATTAATGTACTATAGGAACAGAAATGGTTGATTTAAATTATTGCTCCAAACTGCACCACACCCAAAATATATACCATAGTGCCATCTTTGGCATATACAGTAAATGAACTTTTGTAAACTGTACTGTACATACTTAATGTCACATGATGTGACAATGTTTGTTTTGTCAAGTGATGTATAGTGCATGTCGTTAGTGTAACGGTCGGTGCCAAATCGTCGTTATTTGGCGCCATTCATTTTTAGATATACCTGTATCTCATTTATGAGACATTGTTTATCTAAGCCAAGAGTTGTTACGTCTTGCATATTTCACCTCCGTCGTCAGAAAATGTAAAGGCGCGATGTTGAGCAATTTGTTGCCAGACTATGGATGATAGATAAGATCTGTACATATCATATTAAGTCTTCAACACAAGATATTTATTGTCAACTCTAAATTAAATATGTTGTGAATAAAACTTTTCAATTTGGTCTTGTCTCGTGTCATGCCTTTATACAGGTGTGTTACCAAAGTCAGAATAAAAGATTGTCTCCGGCCAGCTTTTTTCTTTTATTATGTCCCGTAATATTCCCCCCGCCGAGAGCCTCCGTCGTTTACTTTTAATGTATACGGAGACCGAAATCACAAATTTACGGTTTACGACGAGACGCGAACGTGCAACGTCACGAAAGAAATATTGGCCGAACATTTATGGTAAATAATTTATTTCTTCACCTACAAAGCACTTGGAGATGGTTTATTACTGCCACACGATCAAAGTTTCGTTGTTTTACCCCATAATTTCCTTCATGTTTCGTGCCCTGCCCGCTATGGGTGATTTATGATCGTAGATAGAGAAAAAAAATCTTAAAATTAAAGAAAAAGTTGTATCATTTTTATTACGATCATCCAAACATTTGTGGATAAAATGAATGAAATAGAAAAACTGCTTCTGGTGTTAAACCTTTAAACCACGGCTTTGAGACTGTCTCGGCGACCGACGTCGAGCCCACGTGTTTCCGAGGGGCCGTCTCCACCTTTCAGTCACTCACCTGTGGTGTCCCCGAAGATGATACTACTACTACTACTAATGTTTGGAAAGGCAGTTGTCAAAATACCATCCGGAAAGGCTTGTCACTGACTTGTCCGATTCAGAAGAGAAAATGTCTTTAAATTGCAAAAACTCATCTAGAACAGATGCTTCCAGGTCACTGGAATAGGTACTGACAGCCAATGGTGTCATACTCCGTTAAGCTAAACCGCTTCTTTATTTCTGTGCTCTAATTCATTCGTAATATGGTGTAGAAATTGTCCACCTTGGATCAAGTTGAGTTTCAGTGCCAACTGATTCATCCAAGAAATGTTTTCTCTTTTTTGTTGTCGTTGTAGACAGGCTCGGCAAAAGCCCTAGCCTGATCTTCTATTTCATCCAACTGACCCTGTCTCATTTCTGAGACGAAGATGATCAAGCTCTCATACAGTTTCACAACTGACAGAAGGTGAACTTTTTGAAGTGATAAGCTGGTTGCATTAAACCTTGTTAAGATTTTATACTATTTTACAGCAAGAAGTGGTGTTTCAAATGCTTCCATTCGTCTTATGAGGCCTTGACCTTGAAGCTACTGTCAGAACATATTTTGTTCTCCAGTGCTGACTTTATCTCAAGGTAATGTAAAAACACTGCTTTAACAGCATCAGCCCTCGCACTCCAGCCAGTTTCTGAAAGGGATTTCGCTACAATCCCTTCAGCCGGTAGTGCAGCTGATGATCCCAACTATATGTGGAGGTTGAGAAGTAGTTGTATAAGGTTTGCAAAAATCCGGAATTTGAAAGAGACCCAAGGCAACTGATGTTCCTACAAGGTTCAAGGAGTGACCTGCACAAGGGACGTAATATGCCAGGGGATTGACAGCCTTTATTCTGGCAGTGTAAATGCCTGACATATTGGCAGCATTGTCATGACTCTGCCCTCAAGACGAACTTCTGTAATTAACTGTACAACAGTTGAGGCTATGCTCTGTGCACCATGGTCATGTATATGTCTATGAAGTTATAAAAATCGCTCAACTATGAATGTAAGTTGGTCAGTATGACTAACATCCGGTGTGGAATCTACACTAACTGACTAATATTTGTCTTGTTTCACTTCACTTATGATAATTGATTGACCATTTGCTCACAAATCGTTTTTGAGAGATATGAAGTGTTTGCACAGCACCAGATGCTGTGCAAGAAAAGGGTCCAATTTGGCCAGGAGTTGCAAGGTAATTCCCATTGTTGCTAGAGCCTATTCTTTCATCACTACCTCTGAGAGGAAGACCTCTCGATGTTAAAATTTGTAGTGTTTCAACTATGCGCAATAGACGTTCTTTGCAGTATTTTCTCTCCAATTGTAGTTGCAAAGCCAAAGTGGAATCAATTCGCCTTGCTGTAATTGCCCTCACACCCCAACTGAAATTTTATGCTCTCTGCCACTTTCACGTTCGGCAACTGTACGCCGGCAGTTTTTCCAGTCGCTAAACGCATTGAACGCAAAATACATCTCCAGTTTTTGGAGAATACACAAGCCATTCCCTTTGTCACTTCTTGAGAAGTGACCTTGTTCACAATTTAGATCAAGAGAATGATTTAGTAAATAGTCAATCGGTTTATCATCAACTGTCAGCCGGATCACTCGACACCGGTTCCACAGAATGTTTCTTATAATTCAACTGAGATGAATCGGACGAAGTTTCAGTCACAGGTGGTACCGTAGGGTTACGCGATGTTGTCTCGCACTCGGGATGGGTTGGAGAAAGGAAACTCTTAATGGTGGTTTTCTTCTATAAAATATATTATATACAAAACAGTCTGGTGCTTGGAAGAGGAGACGAGACGCGGCGTGTTCAGGAACGTAGGGTAGAATGAATTTCAACGGCGAGACCGAGAGGTCATACACTCGGCTACCGGAAGTAAACCCGGATGCCAGCGTCGCAGGTGGCGACCCCCCCCCACCCCCGTGAGAGAGTCGCCGAATCCCGTCTCATTGGAATGCGGCTAGGCTCGTCAGTTTGTAGGAGAGTATCCACTACGGTACTTGCATTGCTGTAGGTGGCGATTTACTTAATCTCAGCTGACCTCGTTTCGTCATCCGAATCACTAAAGTGAACCTCTACTGTGTCATCCTCTGGGAGTTTACTGTCACTGGGCTCTGAATCTCCTTTTGGTTTAAAAAAATGTCAGCTTTGGCTACTTTTAAGTTCCTCTTTCGTGAGCAGGGCCTCTCTACATATCAGGGTTGGTCGACTTGAAACCACACGAATGACTCCAGTCATGTCTCACTTTTGTGTGTGTGTGTGTGGGGAATTTGTACACTATCAATAAATATACAGTTAATGAAAAATGTCTCAATGTTTTAATTTCCTCAATATAACTGCATATGGCTTCCAAATTCTGCAAAGAAGTGTTCAAATTTCAAAATTTTCCCGGGGGGGCTTATAGCTCCCCCCGGAACTCCCAGATGTTTAGGCTCGTTTCACTCGCCACCCCACCCTCTTGGGTAGTTATAATGAGGGGGGGGGGGGCCTCCACAAAGAGGCTGGCTGCCCATGGGTAGTGTGTGTGCAGGTCAGAGTTGGCGGTACAGTGTGTGAGAAAAGTGTTTCAATACGGTTGGTAAATTCGATTTGACGTTCGGGCATCAAAATGATCTAATTTCAGTAGTACTTGGAAACATCTGGCTATCCCCAAGGACAAGCCACTCGTGTAGTTTTACTAACAACAAAGACAGTTGAAGCTTTCAACATCACTTAATGGATGTTCCAACTATAATCAGATATCTAAGTTGCCTTAACATATACCACCACTGTTGCAATTTCAAATTCTGTGTCGTTATATTAAAGGCCCGTCCACTCGATCGAGCAGTGCCCGTCGTTGAGCGAAATCATGGTCAGCCTGCCTGGTGGTATATAAGTATTACAAATGTTATACGTACGTGTTCCCCGCTCAGTGTATAACCAAATAAGCTTATGCAATGTACAATATTGGCGTGACAGGAGATTATGTAATGAGGACATTCGTGTGTGTTCTTCGTTCCTGCCGCTCTCGTCCCATAGCTTCCTGTTTATGCATATCATAACTCAATCAATTTTTATGGACTACAAATCTCACCTGCAAGTAATCTTCCTCGAGTACTTCATACATGGCTTGACAAGTTGCAGGTATTATGCGAGACAAACTTTGTTTCGATATCCTCGTGACGTGTAGGTGCATACCAGTTGAAAGATATACAAGCGTTGCCTCTAGACGAGCCTCTGTAGATATACTCTCCCTCATATTGGTATCCTGGTTTTTTTTATATATGGTTCCACTTTCGCTCGAAATTTGTAAAAGGTGTTAGAGTTCTTTGTCATGTAATTGGTGATGTCTCGCTCGTGTCCATCTTGCCGTTCACGTAAAATCGTGGCATGACTTCAATACTTTTTTCCGACCTAACCACTCAATGCACCATCCCCTTTTTCTGCATTTGCACATAGCAGCAATTATTATAGTACACAACGATATGATCTTTGCTTTTCAGTGTAGGGCGATTATTCCTGCGATCGTAGCGTATCCGCCACTGCAGACCACTTACTAGCGCCCGACTGTGACTGACGCCAATCACCCCCGTGTGTACAACACACAAGCTTTGCCCGGTAAAGGGTCAAAGTCCGCCGGGCACTGCTCGATCGTGTGGACGGGGCTTTAGGAACAAGGAAGTCTCGGGTGCACTCTAAGATGGAAAGAAAACGGAGGACTCAGACGTCCTGAGAAATCGGACGCCTCAGACGGGTGACTCGTTAAAGAAGGTATAGCTACACGTTAACTCACAAACCACCCTTCGCTTTTATTCTCCTTCTGTACTTCCCACTTAACTATATCTTGCTCTAAATATCCTTGTTCACGGTTCTCTGACATGCACAACCGTCGTTATTACATCTTTAACCCACTTTGCTTTTTCAATGCAATTTTTCTCAATTTCAAAGCCTTTCCCATGTTGAACAAGTAAAAGGCAGTCTTTTTAGATTAAAATACTCTAATATACATTGCGGCGGAAATCCAATTGAAGAAGCGTTTTAGAATTGTCCAAACTACAGATTCCAAATTCACTACATGACCAGACCTCTAATTTTACCTTGATTTCGACTGAATATTGAAAGACTTGGGTCTATATTTAGTATTGCAGTGGTCATAGATGGAAGTTCATATTTTTATTTATAGGTTAGACTTTCAAATGTCTTGCTTGGAATTTAGTATTTTACCACTTCTGGTGTTATTAGACAATACCAAGATTAGTTTAAACCAGTGATGATCGTACTATAGTACAGGGCCATTGTGGATACGAGAATGTGTACTTTGAACGATTGGAAAGTAAAAACCCACACATTAATGTCATCATTTGTCTATTGGGTTATGTTGTGAAAAAGTAATACTAATTTAAGATGAGTAGAGCTGTATTTCCCGAAGCGTTTAACACCCTTAATTAGAGTATTTGAGAACTATTTATGGGCAAACTTTCAAACAGCAGACGTAGTCGAGA